TAGTGTCAATTTTTATTACTTTTTTGTCAGGGGCTAATTGAGACACATGCAATTGGAAGCATTTTATAGATAGTGGAGTGCTTATATCTATTACCACTTCTGGCAATAAGAACCCTAGTGAACAAACTCCAAGCCTTCACATCTGGCTCAGATATTGGCTCTGTCCAGTGTAAATGCTATCACTATTTTGTTTGTTTTACATAATTTGGACGTTCCTTCACAGTTTAAGATAATCTGCTTCCTAACCTGGGGGATTGCAGTGGGCAGGGTATGAGTTTGATACCATTGAGACAACCGAACGACAGTCCAGCACACATACCACACAACCAGGCAACTATCGAGGATAAGGATCAGTAAGCTTTGGGCAGGGGAATTGTTAGCATTGGTTACCACCCAGGAGAAAAAATATCTGAACATTAACCTCTGCTGCATTCCAGCTATACCCAAACCTGGGAAAGGAATCAGCAGCGTTAACTCTGAGGTAAATAAGGAGTTGATGACCCTTAGGCAGCTTGCAGCACACAGTGATACACTCTGGCAGAACCTGCGATGGTTATTATCCCAAATTTTATCAGCACCTGCTGTTCCTTTGGACAGCTGTGTAGAGAGGAGGAACTGTGGTGTGGACTACTTTGTTTCAACCTTAGCTAATGCCCAGGCTTTCATTTCATTTCTATGAGATGAACTGTGTTGCTTCACCACTGAAAGAGTCCATCTAGGATTTTCTGCTTTAAATTGATGGACTTACTTTGCGCAAATTAGCAATTTTATCTGCAGACTTCTGCATAACAGCAGCATTGTTCAACAATTCAACCACCTAGAAAAAGATATTAAAATTTTATATACAGAGCTTAATGAGATAAAAATGGATAAACTACATTGTGTCTTAGACATCAAATAATTTTATTTATATAAAAAGTCTATGATAAACTTTAGAACTGAGTTTTTTTTTTTATTTGGCCATTGATTTCTAAAAAAAAAAGTGATTTAAATAAAAAAATTATAATAGTAAATAAATCTAGATGTAGATCTATTAATGCTAATTATTTATAAAAGTATTATAATCAATTTAATCAATACTTTTGAATTACATGAATTTATGCATTATATATAATATATTATATATATATACTTAATATACATACTGTCATCTCTAAACTACTACAACTATAGATATCATCTAAATATAGAAGAGATAGAGCTATTCTAGATTAGTTCCAAATCAAAACTGAAATTATTTCAAAAATAAAATATTAAAATTAAGATTTTTTTCTTTAATTAAATTATATTGAAAGTAGATTCTAGAGTAAATCTGCATCAGTGGATCTAGACTTAGATTCTAGATGAAAAGCCACTCATTTTAGATTATTTTAGAAGCTACACTCACTCATGGCAGAATCTAAAAATAGATTTATAAATAATCTACTTAGACTTAGCTCTTAGATCTATAAACATGAACATTCTACATCTAAAACGTTTCAAATTGAAAATAAAATCCTCACTATATCATAAGTATTTGTGTTTGCCATCTTGTCCTGTTCGTCATCTTTATTAAAGAACTGTGCTGCTGTCGATCGTTTCATATCTTGTTTTGCTTCTACAGACTTCGATGTTGATGTACCAGAATCGAGATCTGGTTTAGAACTAGAATTGCCACTAGTAAACGCCATTTAAGACAACTAGATAGATTACAGTATGATTTAACTCTATTGGCATCGAATTAATCTATTAACATGTGGGGGCAAGGGTACTGCTCATGGGACATTTAGATAAAAATAACAACTGCCATGCTGATGTGAGACATCTAGCTATTCAGCCATCTTGAAATTTTGACCCAGTTAATTTGTCTTCCCAAACAGAATCATATTAAAAACAAGAAAGGCCAAATGTAATGTAAGATACATAACTATCTCGATGTACAAATAAATATTTTTGTTATAAGTACAAATTTGTGTTAAATCTTCATGAGACATTTAAATTTAGATCCAATATATATATTTATATATATATATACATTTTTTAAAAATTCGTTGCATAATTAAAAAAAAAAAAAAATAAATTGCCATGCCCTTATTTATAAATCATAACACACAAATACATCAGCTAACAAAGCGCGCAAATTCTAGATCTCTAGATAAGATATATATATAGATAGATAGATTTAGATCTAAATTGTTGCCTGGATCTGCTAGCAAAACCAAATCGACTATATGTAGATCTATATTAGATCTATCCTATATCAAGATATAGATTTAGACTAGATATAGGCCTAGTAGATCGAGGCCAATATTATTTAAAGTTAGAGCTATATATAATTAACTATAAATTAACTGAAATTCTGCCAAGTCATTAAAATTGGTTATCCTGGTTGGCTCAGTCAACCCTTTCCAAGTAGCACTATGGAAGAAGGAGCATTTGTCCTAGCACATGGAACGAAAAAAAAAAAAAAGATCTATGCTGTTTCGAAAAAAAAAAATTCTATCTGTTTAATGTAATAATTATATTCGATAAAGGTTAATTTTGTCATTGTAGGCCTAATAATAAAAAGGGCCGGAAAAGTGAAAGTGGTGGTCGGTAGGGGGTACCCGTCAAAAAGCAGCATACATATATTTGATATCAAATTTGTTTGCATCAGAGCGAGGGAGGGGGAATTTTAAGAGGAAAATATTTTTAAAAAGTGATAGGCCTACTCAAATCTACTGTTGAAAAGTATACGCGTGTGTGTTGGGGAGCCTTCCACACGAATGTTAGCGTAAGTGCACATGACCAGATGTCCCGACTAAGGCGGACCGCTTGTCACGCTTTTTATAAATGTCCGGGCCGAACAGCCAATGCTAAAAAGTCGATCAATTTCAAGCTTTTATTTTTTAAAAATCGCCTTTTGATGACTATAACTTCAAAGTTAAGGCCTTACAGTGTCTCTGTCTTGATCCTTATTTCGACGCTTCTCGTTCTCCTGTGTTTGATGCGTGGTGGACGAGCAGATATAAACAAACACCTGAATGCAGATCGTCATAAAAACGCTTAGCAGTTGGAAGCTTTTAGCGCCTTTCACAAAGTAGGCCTACTTCTCAAACATTGAAATAGCTGATAAAGAAGTTCAAGCTAGCAGCCTCAGAAGTTTTTTTCGCTTTTCTCAGTTTTCCATAGGTCTAATCACAGTTTTAGATCAATTTTTTTTTTTTTTTTTTTTTAAGGCATACGCTAAAATCTCTCCGAAAAATGAATGACCCAAAACTCACATGGTAAGAACCAAATGTGATGGAAATGTAACAGACGTCTTTTGCCCGTTTTATAATGAACGAAGTAAAGAAGCAGGTTAGTGATATCTTATAGTTTGTGACAATGTTCACGGAGGTTTTCAGACGTGAAATTGTTTCCCTAATGATACAATTCTATGTGCCTATGTTCGGCAAGAGATCTATAAGTATTGGCTGTGGTGCTGTCGTACACAATGTCATAAAAATACTGCAGATTGTCTTCCGATAGATTTGGAGACAATGTCCGTGAAATTTTATTATTGCTTCTGCTTCTACACCGTTCGCGTGGAATCTTTAAAATAATTTTGCGAATATGTCGATGTAAAATATGGATCTTGCAATGGAAATACTACTTAATTAAATATTGCTTTGAAATCATATTTTTCGTCTCAAGAGAAGCGCCCCACAGCAATCAAAAACTTCTTTCGAAACCCTTGTGCTGAATTATACCTGTATTTTGTGCACAACATTGCTGTAATATTCCATGCAACAAAGTAGGCTTATTCGGGACAAAATGTCAATCTTTTGGATGGCTGCCTGGTGGTGCGGTTTGCGCACTGGACTGTCGTTCGGATTTATCGACGGTCGGGGGTTCAAACCCTGCCCTCTCCCATCCCCCGTCGACCTTCGGGAGGTTTGGACTAGGAAGTAAACTATTTTCAACTCTGAAGGAACATCCGAAACGTTTTAAAAACATTTTGAAGTATCTTCTACTATTGACAAAATGGGTTAAAAAATGCAAATTCATAGAAATGAAGAAATATAGGACTAATAATTAAGGTAACATTTTTTCCCATATTTCTTTAGTAGGCCTTTAGAAATATAGCATGGGAACTAACGGCATAAAAGTTGAATTGTTTTATCAACATATTAAAGTTGCTCTCGATTTATCTTATAATATATGCACAGGACCAGCTTTAGGCTTGATAAGGTCCAAAGTTTGTTTTTGTTTTTTAGATATAGGTAATTTTTCCTTTGATCTTTTTAAAGAATGATTGAAATATCACTGGAACCATTTTTGGGGGCTTGCCGCTTTAAGGCCTAAGCTCTAGATTAAGTTGCCTATTGGAAAGGGGGGGGGGGTATAATAGACACACTAAAGCAACAAGTCTCAAATAACACATTGATTTTTATTAGCCTCTTCACTCCCGCATCTTGTTATGAATCTCACCCACCGTTTTACACACAGTCCTGACTTACACACTTTCCATGCTGTTCACTCAACCATGTACAATGAAGGTCAACTGGTCATTTCATACACAGGCACACACACTGCACTACCGGCCACTCAAAACCCATCCACTTGCTATCACAGGAGGGGAGGCGTTATAAGTCCAGCACCATATAGGCCTCTAATATATATCCAATGAAGAGATGATAATTTATGAGCCTTAAGCTATGCAAAGTCATTGGTTTTCCTGGCTGATTCAGGCAACCCACTTCATGCTCTAATGAAATCAAACATTTAGGCCCATTAGTGTATCATGTCACTTCCCTAAAACGTTATAAGTAATCGTCGTATTTAATCCTGTTTGGTTCTTTCTCTACTCTAAATAGAAATGCACTGCATTCGAATCCAAGTGTCTTAGTGGTTTTTGAGATAAACTCCCAAAACCTTTTCAAAGGAAAAGACCAGTATTTCATGTTGCTAAGTAGAACCAGCTGTCATCCTACATTGTTTGAGCGATGTGACTTGATCTATTGTTAAAAATACATACAAAATATACAACGAAATCAAAACTTTTTTTTTTATTATTGTATTTTATTATTTGTATGAGTATATACAGGCAATGTTTACCATCCAATGATAAACAGTCATAACCAAAGAAAGCACAAACAATGAAATATTGCTACAGTAGAATTTCAAGTTGGCACCAATCAGGGGAGATGTGATATTAATTAATAAGGATCTATCTAGAATTGTACATCTCACACTACAAACATGTCTGTAATGAATTCACAAAATTCCCAGTGACTTTTGCCATAGACCAAATCCTACATATTTATGTCAACAGCTTGACAGTTTTTAAGACAGAAAAAAAAGTCTTAAAATTGGGGGCACAAAAAAAAAAAAAAAAAAAAAAGTACATAGAAATGTTCTTAGAGGGTCCTGCATCTTCAGAAGTTAATGACAGTTTGACTTTAAGTATTCAGACAAGAAAATACTTCTTTAGAGCAAAAAAAACAACAACCTTTATAGTGGGGAAACAGTATTTCATAAGCCTACATACATAATTGGAATAAAAAAAAAGGCTGAGAGATGCTGACATAAGAATTTAAGGATTTAATAAATTGAAATCTTACTGATAAGTTAGAGTATAAAAAAGTTATTCTAAGAATACACATAGAAGCTACTTCAGCACAGTGGTTTTTAAAACCACTGTGCAGGGAAACAATAATTGCACTTCATTGTTAATCATAGGAAACATGTTTAAATTGACTTGAATAAGATGTTCATATTGAATAATCATTTTTATTGTTTTGTTCATTTACATGCCAGAAGAAAAAAAAATCACAAAATAAATATTTTCAATATATTTTATATGTGGTGTAATGCTAGTGAATGTTGATTCAAGAACAAAAAAAAAACGTTTGTTACAACTGGTGCAAGAACTGCTAAGCATGCATGAAGATAAGCGCCTCAGGCAGGTAAACACAACAGAAACACAGAATCAAAAAGCATTAGGATGATCCATTAATAAACCACAATCTATTATGATAAAAGTAATCCCAATAGATAAGTTGTTAGATGTTTATGCATCGCAATAAAGGAAACAAAAGAGAGAAGGGGGAGGGTAAAAATGGATAACTACCTATTTATACATACATGTTTTATAATATTCTAATCATCATTTAATTTAAACTTGTCCTATACATTTACATTCTTTCTTGTTGACTTGACTTAGTTATTGTATTCTCAGGGATTACAAACAGGGAGCTTAAAAAACAACTAAAAATTTTTATTTGTTTAACATGTTTTGAATGTTCCCTTCAGAATTAAAGATTAGTATATCCTAACACAAATATACCTAAGGATAGTGGAGTACAGGGTTTGAACCTTCGAGATGGGAGCACATACCATATGATCAGACAGCTGTAATGGACACAATAGTAAATTAATTAATAGATATTGCATACACTGGGATTATGGATGCATTATACAACTATAAAAAAAACATACTCAGCTAGTTGGAAGTGACATGTTATACAAAATATATTATGTTAATTAGCTTAAAATTTGTTGCTGCTACATAAATCCATTATCTGAAATAAACCCAGAACAGCAGAGTACTAAAAAAAAATAATTGGAGAAGCACATAAAGTCAATTGAAAGGCAACCGTAAATTGAATTGGTCAAAATGAATATTTGTTTACAATTATAAAGGAAATAATTAGTCCTATGTAATGGTAATTTCAAAACATTCACTTATACTTTTTTTTTGTGTGCATATAATGATTTTTATGATGGATAACTAAGTCTTCTAGTGATAGATTATGTTGAAATATATACTCTTTCATTATATTTTAACAATGATATAATTATTGAAAAAAAAAAGCAATTCTATAATGTTCATATATACTTTGAAATCATTTTCTGTTTTTGAAAGAATTGATTAGCTTAAAATGTACTTTTGAAGAGTCTTAAGAAACATTCTTCAATTAGAATTAAAAAACACATTATTGAGATACTGGGTATCTTACTATTAAAAATAGAGACAGTCAAAATGTAGGTTCTATTTCATGGTTTTCAAACTCCCCAATTCCATGAATTGTTAATTAAATTTAAAATAAGTAACATTTAACTAAAGATATAGAAAAAACAATTTTAAAAAAGTTTATCAATTATGACATTCAGAAATAAAATGAAGCAATAAATATGTTTTTATTGCACTGTTAAAAGGACACTCTAAAAAAAGTTATATTAAGCAATGATTATTAATAGAAGTCAATAACAATCCTTTAAAACACTTAGCCCCCAATATGGCCATTATAAATGGCATGCATATTATTTGTTAAGCAAAGTTAAAAAGATTGTAAAGATAATTCAATTAAATGAACATGTTTTTTTTTGTTGCACTTCTACTAAATTACTTAATAAAATTGACACTCTTGAGCTTACTATATGATTTATTACTAATATATGTACAATAATGAAAGTCTTGAAAGGACATGGTCTCCATAATGGGATAGTCTAGAGTATGCCCATGGTATATTCCAGCCCTAAAGAAAACATGTTGTATGTAAAACTCTAAAAGACAGAATATGAATCACTGGTTATCTCACCTATAATATGGCTGATTAACTTACTAAGCCATTCTGACCAGAATTTAATATTTTCAATATTCAATACAAATTTGGCTCAACTTGCAAATGTATCAACAGTAAGTTACTGTGGACTGAAAGAAAATATGCTAAAGGTTTTGTTACTCTATGTGAAGAACCAAGCATCACTAGACAAGTTTAGTTAGATGGACAATGTAAGCAAAACATTCTTGTGCTGGATCACATCTCACATGTGCTTTTGGACTAAACCACAATTTTAAATAAAAAAAAATATTTCAAAATATATACATTTTTAAGAAGAAAATTATTTCATCATGCATTATTCAAGTAAAGGGAAAAGAAATAAGTAGTTTGTAAATTATTGCGTCATATTACTGTAAATCAGTGCGCACACACAAATTTTTTTTGGACAATGAATTGTGAATATACAGTGTGTCCCAAAATATGTAAACACAAGTTTAAATAATTGTAAACAAATCTTTTCTAATGAGGATACCTAAAAGACCAAGGGTACGAAACCTATAAAACCTGCACCAGTCACTGGATTGAGAGAAGGCATTAAACATGGGTATTGCTTCATGATGTCAGCAGTGTCTGGATCAAAATGGGCATCAGTTTTCAAAATTATAATAAAAACCAAGTTTACGATTATTTAAAATGCATATACATTTTTTGGAAAACTCTGTATTTCCTCTAACAGTTTACAGTAGCTGATGAACAGTTTACACTAGGTTTTATTTTCTTTTTGGCGACAAAATGCACTTTTTTTAAAAAGTGTTGCATGGTTGTCTGTTTGTTTCATACACAAAAGCATATTTTACTTTGAAGATTAAAAAAAAAAGGTTATTTTTCAAATGAATTGATATAATATGTAAAAATAAAATCAAAATAATAACAAATAGAATCTTCACATAATTTTTATTGTCTACTACTTTTCCATGGATTTTTTTCTCACACATTAAAGAAAAACTAAATAAACTATACAGCAATGTAAAACAAAAAATCACAGAGGCAATACTTTTCAAAAGTAAAGTCACAATACTAAGTTAATAAATATAAACGCCATACAGAATCAACATAAAATAACTGATTACAAGACTATAACAGAAATGTGTTTACTATCATTTAGAGATAAGACATTTCAGAACAGATAGAAAATTATGACACCCCATAAAATAAATAAAAAAAAAAATCTTTTCACATAAATTATTTTTAAAAATTCATAATGTTTTTTTAGCAGAACTAATAGAATTTCTTTATAAACGTTTGAAACTAAGTAATATAAAAACATATTTCAAAGTATACTAAAAAAAAAAAACGTGACCAAAAAATTAATAATTAAAAAAAAACAAACAACAACAACAAGTATTAACACTTGTGAAAAACATGAAATTCTTAGAAAAGTGAATGTGGTGTAGAATTATGCAAGTGAAGACAATATTATAAAGAAATGATTTTATTTTCACTATGCCTTATTTTAATTGAAACAATAGCACTAATTCCCAAAATAATGACAATACCAGTAGTACCAATACTTTTGGTTGTGCTTTAATGAAAAAAAAAAAAAAAAAAATACCTTGCTTCAGGGCACTTGTTTTACTATTTTTTTTACAAAATTATAAATCTTGACTGACAAATGATAATCACTAAATTATTAAATTGAAATATAGATGACAACCCACACCCTTTTAAAACTATGATAAACTCATTAGTCTTGTAACTGAGGTACTAAAAGATAAATAAAAACTATACTAAGAATATCAGTGACATCAATGCAATGTATAATGCTGCTCTTATTTCGACTAAACAGTTATGCTAAATATAGAGAGATTTATATATATACAATCTTCTAATTCTAAACACATTTTAAAGGGACCTAGCTTGTTACACAGAGATATAATGCACATTGTATTTAATACAGTTTATATACAATTTGCTGTTAAATCCTTACCAGAATATATCAAGGTCTACAATAGTTGCAGACAATCTATTATTAATTGACGTTTAAATTTGTTATGCAGGTGCATGGTTCATATGTAGCTTAACATTGCAAATGCAAATTTTTTGTTCAGCAGATTAATTCTTGGTTGACAGAATCTCTATGATGCCAGGGATGCCACACCTTCTCGTTTGGACGGTGGTACAAGGTGGTCTGGAAGTGTGTTGGGTAAATCATGACCTTCCAATTTGATCTTGATCAAATGGTTGGCTAGGGCCCACTCATCAGCATCCAACATGCCATCACGATCGATATCAGATAGTTTCCAAATCTTGGAGAGAACTGTGTTGGGTAGCTTGGATTTCACCATTTCAGATTTAGCAGCAGCACCAGAAACTTTACCATTTACAGGATTCAGCTTGGCAAAAGCATCATCATACTCGTATTTGTTTGCTTCAACAACCCATTCATGCTCACCACGGCCTGCATCAGCGCCCTCACCACGACCAATGCCAAAGGGGCTTTCTGTATAACCTTCAAAAGCACCACCATGAATGTTCCCATTCGCTTGTTCATTATGAGCCATTTCAGATTCCTCAGCAGGGATCATTTGCATTAGTCGAGCTATATCAGTAGCAAGCATGGAATCAACAACTTCCAGCAACTTAGGCTTCAGCTAGAAGAAAGATAAAAAAAAATTGTAAAAAGGGAAAAATGTTACATATACAGGTACAAGAATCTATTCAGAAAAGTCCTTGTGATTCTTCATATTTGTTTACGTATGAAAGAATATATGTAAATAAGTAGATATAATGTGAGGTTTGTATTTAGTTATATTGATTCTAATTGAGATGATGTAAT